CAGACTGGAAATATCACATTGGCTGTTCACAGTACACGATTACAATATAACAATATCATTTGTCATAGCAGATATGGAAACTAAATGTGGGCAGAGTACTCTAAAAGTATTTAAATGCAACATCCTCATGCAAATCTGTTGGGGCCTTGTTCCCAGCAGCCATTTTGACCTGTCACAGTAGGAAGAGCACAGGTGTGTCTAATATCGATAATGATGGCTCTGTTGCCATGACAGCGTGACAGTGAGCCAGCATGCACAAAACCAGGAACCTGAAATAGAATTCAGCCATCATTAACTTTATTAGTAACACCTGTGATTTTCCTACTGTCAAAATGAAAAATGCTTCTTATGAAACAGTTAAGAGTTTAAAGGAAGAACAAACACAGACAATGTCAGATTAATAAAGATAATAAATAAATGAACTGCTTCTGTGCATGTGTGTACCTGCCCACAGACGGGGTTCCGACGGGGCACTCAGGGGTAAAGTCTGGGGGGGAGATGGGCTCGATGACTGGCAGTCGGTCCTGATGGGTGATGTGAGGAAAAAGCCATAAAGGAAAACACAAAGACAGAAATACGGACAGATAAGAGGAAGAGAGATGGAAGACGACACACAGTTTTATGACTGCAGTTCAGACCAGTGAATATGTTTCACTATTTGTCTCTGCCCTGTATGTAGAGCCACGTGTAGCTCAGTTTTCAGGACAATCACAGCTGTTGTGCTATTTGATATACTATACTCTATTTTGTGAACATGAACTATATTTATGACTGATCAAGGCCTACTTTCAGTATGAGCTTTCTGGATTCACTATGGGCTAAAAGAGCTCAAATTGGTAATTAACATTAAAATGATTATGGATTATTGCATTCCTCACTGATTAAAATGATAGGATGTGTAGATTTATCCCATGTGTTTAATGCAGAAGGGTCACTTGTGTCTTTACTTGTGGATAAAAAGCTTGGACTTTGAATCTTATATTGAACAGAGGATTCCCTTTATCCCACAGCTAACACAGTGAATGCACTACTCTAGTTAAAAATTAGTTTTTGAATTTCCCCCCAGTGTCAGCTGGGATCGGCCCCAGCCCCCCCAGCTAATGAATGGAGTGGATGGATAGACCCCTCCCACACACCTCCCCCTTTTCCCAAATGTCTCTTCTCTCTGTCTGTCTCACCGGAGTGTGTGTGTCTGTGTCTCTCTTGTAATCGCCTCTTATTGGAGAGTCGCTGTCCAGACTCAACTTCTCCACTGAGATCTCCCTGAAAATTCCACAAAGACACACACAAATAGAGGAACATGGCGATGCAAACAGACAAATGAACAGAGACACAACAGAACACAAAGGGGTTGTTAGACAGAGAAAGAAGTAAAGGCTTTATTCTTTGCCAGGAAACACAAGGAATAAGGTTCAAGGGATGCTGTGTTCAATAGCAATGTCTGAATCACATCAAACATCACACATAGATGTTGAGTGTTACAGTACAGTACAGTAAAGCAGAGTGTGTGGCTTATGAACCATTTATTTGTGCTTGCTGTGTGTCTCACCCGGAGTTGAGTGTTAAGCTGTGTGCATTGGGACTGTAGGTTCCTGAGTTGTTAACAGTGGGAATGGCGTTTCGAAGCAGCCTCACCCATGTCCCGATATCCACGTTCATCTGACGAGCCCGTAGGAATGCCTTGCCTGGAAACACACATGGTCACGCACATCTGGAGTCACAGATGTTTGTCTCACAGTGCAAATCATCATCAGTCAGACAAACCTGCTTTTAGAACTTCATTTTAAATACTACCCCTTTTGTAAATTACATCTTTGCATCACATAAACCTGTCCCTATCATCAAGATATGCTAATCACCACTAGAGGGCGCTGTAGTCTAAATGAAAACACAGTGGGCTGTACTGTACAGTACAGTAGAGAAGAGCAGTGTGCCTGCCCTCTGCTCATGTTCTTTTTCTCATTTCAATACAGCCAGTGTGAACACCACTTGCTTGCCTTTATCTATATAAACTGTACTAAAGCTGCAGAGTAGAAGTGCAGGAGTGAAACACTGTCATTTCCAATTCAGCACATTCTTCTATTTCCTCTACTCTGGCCTCACCTTGCTGCTTAGAAAAGACTTTCTTCTGCCTCTGGAGGCGAGGAACTCTCTCAATGACCGGGTTAAAGAAGGTCACCTGAAGAAAAAAAAAACCCACATTATATTTTCACACCTCATACTCAGATGGTTGAACGTTTCAAGTATGGCACATCAAAGCAGTGTCTTTCAGGCACAGGTGCATGTGACAGCTTGTGTGTGTATGTGTGGGCGGGTGTACGTGCCCACATCTGAATATGTTTGTGTATATTAATAGCACTTACATATACAGGTGCCATCCATGCAAAGACAGTGAGGCTACCTTTGTGTTAGGGAGTCCTTTACCCCCTGTTTTGTTATGTCAACGTTTGTGTGCATGTATGCTGGCATGTACCTCGGCCAGCAGCAGGCCCTGAGGCTCCAGCTCCAGCTGAACTCTGTGTTTCTGGTTGTCCAAAAACTCCTCCAGCTTCAGGTACTTCAGAGCACACAACGAGCGGTAATCCTTCCAGTAAACTGCAATCTCCATCTCCCTCGACTAAAACACACAGACAGAAAAGAGAAACAGCTTTACTTTAATCAAAGGATACTCACATAAACTCATACATGTTTATGTGCGTACAGTTATGTGTGTGTGCACTGACCCTTTCCAGCTCTACAGTGAAGGTCTGGTCCCAGGCCTGTTCTCCCACAGTTCTCCAAGCTGTCTGGCCCACCACTGTGTTATCCAGTTTTAGCACTGCGCTCACCTCGGCTGCACACAAACAGAGCAACATTTTCCTCCATAGGTGACTTTTCTTTGCATGTAGAATCAAGAAAGCTAATGACCGGTCATGCGTCACTACATTCACTACATAATACAATTTAAGTACTGATTAATGAGTGTCATTAACTTCCTCTAAGACACTGGAAAATGCACATTAACCTTTAAAAAAGCAGTTTGTGAAGAGACTACTCGGGGTGTTGATCAAGTCAAGATTTTTATTTGCTATTTATGCATAAACAGACAATCTAGGCATATAGGAATTCTTGTGCAGCTCTCCTTTGGAGTCAGGTAAGGAGCCAAAAGCCAGAAACTACACAGCACTAGAAGTGACAGAATGTACTACAGTACACTGTTTGTATTGGAAAACAATACAACTTCCATGTAAGTACACAGAAGGGTACAGTGTTAAAACAAAGTAAAACAGCTTATTTATTGTTGAACTCCTTGAACTAGATTTAATATACTTTGATTATCCATTAGCAATGTATATGCCAAAAACAGACCCAGACTTACAGGAGAGCTCGTCTGTCTTGCTTGGTGTCTTCCCACTGACCGAACCGCTCCGCCCGTACAGTCCCTTGCTGCCTCTCATGAAAGACCTGGTGTCTCCGGGGCTGTGGCAGGGCAGCATGATGGCTGCCCCTTTATTGCGACCTGGGACCAGCTCCAACAGCCTCGCACAGCCCAGCAGCTGCACCTGTAGGGTACCTGAAGACAGAAGAAAACAGCTCAGGCAGGTACAACTACAGGCCAAACTTAACAGTGAGAAATCTGTAGGTGGGGGGGTTCGATATACATCGTCTATATTAAGATCCTAATAGCAAGTTTAATGATATGTGAGTTGACATTATTGAGTAGTTCACTCCCTTTACAAAACAAGGAAAGGAAATTATAGATATAGTGAACAAATGTGGTAATAAATCATCCAGTGATAGTGATGGTATCAGTATGACAATGGTTAAATGGGCAATCGAGGGGATATGCAAACCATTAACCCATGTTTTTAACATGTCGTTTCGACTTGGGCAGTTCCCTAATAATATGAAAATAGCAAAGGTTATTCCA